TATTCTCTTTTCCAAGATACTTTATTCAATGACAAGTAGAATTGTTTGAAAGTACCGATGGTTATTATTTTTGGCTCTTAGGTAAATAGCCAATTTCACCAATGGAAACCAAATTTCCTGATTCAGGTGCACGAGAATAAGTTTTTTGCAGTTAAAGAGGGCTTCAAGGTGAGAGATGGAGCTCAGGGGATATTTTAAACTGGTAGAAGCGTGTCAAAATTAGCAAGACTTGTTTTACACTGAGAAAAAGCTATGGTTTATAAACCTATTAGAGGTAAATATGGAACACCTATAATAGTCGTAAATAAACTAATGATTCTCGGTCTGTGAACCATACTAAGGTCTCTGTACCTAATTAAGGTACAGAGACCATAACTAAGGTATATGTGCTACTATTATATGTAGAGGTACTACTATTAGTGGTGTTCCATATTTACCTCTAATAGGTTTATAAGCCATAGTTTTTTCTCAGTGTACAGTAGGAGCGGCAACTATGCTCCAGAATGCGATTTTTCCCGCCAAAACGCGCGCAGGGTATCGAAAGTCTGCGCGACGTATCGAACAACCTTTGCGCAATCGCTAAGAACTTGACAACACGAGAACTATAACGCTTCTGCGCGCGGTTGCCGAGGCTATGATTGGTTTTTACGGGTGGTTTCACGATAACTGGAATAGTTTTGTCGCCGTAACAGACAACACATTTTTCGGCCTTATTTTTAGTGGTAATGATAATCACTAGAATTGTCCTGCATTAATCTACACAGGGTTACGTATTATAACGCTTTTCAAAGATTTATCGCTTTACTTTTCAATTCCAATGTATAAATGACCGAAAATGTGCTCGTCTGTTACGCTGAATTTTTACCGCGTAACAGACAGCACATTTTCGGAATTTACATAATATTATTTGAGAAGTACAGCAATAAATCATTAGAAAGCGTTATAATACGTAACCCTTTGAAAATTAATGCAAAAAAATTAGAGTGGTTATCATTTCTACTAAAAATCTGACCGGAAAATGTGTTGTCTGTTACGGCGACAAAACTATTCCAGTTATCGTGAAAACACCCTTACGCTGATAATATTTTGTTTGGTGGCTTCTTTGGTAAAATCCTGATGTCATACTGGTATTTCACTCAGGTAATATGCGAGTTATGCATGAGAACGTCACCAATATGATCTCAATATTTTTACACTGTCGTGTTTTTACTGCGGGTTCGGCCAGAAGATGAGACTCCTTTTTTGCCAAGAAACAATCACAAATGTAAAATGAAGGGCGTTTTTACAAAATACTTTATATCTTCAGAAGAACATATGTTAATTTGAAGTTCTTATTTTCATCCTGGAGCCTGCGGCTACATCGGGAAAAGAGTAAACTATAACCGATGAATTTTAGATCGAAAATCCGAAACTATATGAGCTGTTAAAACGTAACACTGGAAGAAAAACATATTGGATCTAGAGTCCGACTCTTGAAAACATTGACAAGAAAAAATACTCATGATTCAATCGGATTTTTGCTTGAATCAAAACGAAATCCGTTCGAATTAAGATGCTTGGTTCTTGATTTAAGCTAGATTCTGATTAAATCAATAGTAGGTACTTTTTCTTGTCGATGTTTTTAAGAGTCTGGACTCTAGATCAAATATGTCTTTTTTCCAGTGTACGGGTTCTGCCATACGATAAGACTCCTTTTTTGCTAAGAAACAATCACAATGTAGAATGAAGGGCGTTTTTATAAAATAGTTTCCATCTTCAGAAGATCATATGTTAATTTTAAGTTCTTATTTTCATCCTGGATCCTGCTATACATCGGGAAAAGAGTAAATTATAACCGATGAATTTTAGATCGAATATCCGAAACTGTATGAACTTGAACGTTTGAAACGTAAGTGTATAATAATTTCGATTGATAAAACACAAAATAGGAGTTTCAATAAATAGTAAGAGTTAACCTAAGAAATATATACAATTACCGTCTTCAACTTTCAACAGAATTATTTTGTTACAATGAAATTTTAAAATTTCAAATAATACGTATTTACTTGGACATATCTCCAAAACACCTAACAATCAGTTTTTTTTAAAAAAAGGAATTCTTCCTACCTAAAGCCGAATTTTTTAACAGGAAATATTCATTGAAAGTTCTTCAAGCTAATTATTGAAAGATTCAACAGCGTACAAACTTCAATTGAAGTAAAAGAAAAAAGTTTTACTTTATCCCAAAGAAAACATTATTGAATCACGTTTAGCAACAATAACACGTATGGCATGTTACGAAAAACAAGCGAAAATCAATTAGAAACAACATGAGTTTTGGATTATTACTGGTGGCTTTGGTATGTAAAAAGAAAGAAACTCCTCAGAGAATCTTAAATACAATCTGAAGCAGTAATCTTGAAGAAATTTATCATAAATGTATGATTAAACAGAAATGTAGAAATCGGACCGTTAAATTAAAAGGAATGAACTCACTTGCGCCTTAATATCCAGGTGCAAGTGGGTCCAAAAATTTTCAAATTCAGCGTCAATTTTTCTTGAGCAGACCTAAAAAAAAATATCTCCTCAGAAATTGGAAGTTTTTGAAAATTTTGCAACATATAATAATTTTGAATTGTGAAGCAAGTTAGATTATGTTAACGATCTGGCAACACCGCGCCGGTAAAGTGCGAGACTTGTGCAAGCAACGAATATATTTTACGGCTGCTTGCAGCGCTGTGCGGACTTTGATGAGCTGTTTTAAAACATTTCCATTCTTGATCGTCGACATTGTCGGATTTTCAGATTCTAAAAACTTTTTATTATTAAAAGCTACATACTATTGCTCCACAACGGATTCCGTCTAATAATGATCGCGACTTTCATTCGGCGATGGAAATAATTTCAGGTCAGCTCAACTCAAACAACATGAACTTTTTGTCGATATCCCCCCCCCCCTCTTTTCAAATTTTTGAAAAAGCAAATAAGTTATCAGTGAGATCCGAACAAATATTTAATTTAATTTTTTTTCTTCAAAACTGTGGTGAATGGTTTTTTAATAGATAGGTTTTTCTTTATTTTCGTCTAACAGCCTTGCAAATCATAGACACAATACTTGTTTCCATCTGGAGTAAAATTGCAAAGATTCCATATTATTGTCATTGATTCACTAAAATTTCACTATGAACTTATATTTGATTCATTAAAGCATCTTACCATGTATCCGATCAGATGCTACATTTACTCGACGGACATCGTATACGAGACTCCGAGGTATACATTACGATGAGTGACTTATTAAGCATACTTTTCGCGGGTATTTATCCTTCTGCTGCTCAACTACTTTCAAGATATTATAGAAATACTTGTATATTGATCATCTATAATTAATTTGACAAAAAAGAGCCTCCTTTCCAACTAATTTTTAGAATCTTATGCTTTGAAGAAAAATTAATAGGAAAGTTAAAATTCTAGGTTACACGAAATATCTTTTATTCCAAACGCCGTTTTTTAAAAAAATATTGTAAATTCTTTAAGTTGCATGAAAACATTATTGTACTATACCTCTATAATATGTTTTTTACATTCAAAATATTCACCTCTGCAACTAAATTTTCAGTTTCAAAACTTTCCCTCAGGTCACAAGATCCTGTGCAGATTTTCTTCTTTGATCTGTTTGCCTTTTAAAATTACAAAAAGGTCCTGAACATGCGCTGATGTCCAGCAGGACATTTCAATCGAAACCTACCCCTGCATTAAAAAAAGACACTTCTTCAAGGAAACTAGCTGGCATATTCTCTTGAAATTGTTGACCAAAGCCTGGGGTTATTTTGCGTTTTAATTCTCATATTAACCAAACTTTTGTGTAGTTTCTCTTTGTGCAAGGTTTGACAAAAAACATCCTAACGAAACTTATAATTTTACGTTGGGTAATTTTATTTACTGTTTCCCGAAGTGATTTACGCGCATGTTTCTTGTTTGCCAAAAAACGCGATTCCTCTCTGGTAACCTCGATCTCTATCTGAAAACTACGCATGATGAAAAATGGCCCGCTGTGGGCATAGATTTACACGATTGTTACGGTGCCTGCGTATTACACCGAGTTAAATCTTAATTTGTGTCTCCGCTAATGTGTAATTCGTGTATGTTGTAATCCGTTTTCACCTTACTCTCTGCAAGCCTAAAATTGCACAAAACGAGGACTATCAGGCTCGTATCCTCCCGAAATTGCCAATAAAATGTGTTGTCATCGGACAATTGCAATTGGAAATTACGCATTAATTGCATCCCGTTCCGTTATTACTTACTGCATGCAACTGGCATCAGAAAATTTGATGAGACACGTGTTTGGCTTGATTCGCTTCTTCCTCTTCCTCCTCCTCCACTTCTTCTTCCTCATCCTCTTCTTTCTCCTCCTCTTAATATTCTTCGTATCCTTATATTCTTACTCTCATTCTTATTCTTCTTGTTCTACGTATTCGTATAGTTCTTTTTTATATTCTTCTAATTCTTTTTCTTCTTTTTTTTCTTCTTCTTATTCTTCTTCTTTTTTTCTTGTTCTTATTCCTTTTTTCTTCTTCTTCTTTTTTTCTTCTACTTCTTTTTCTTTTTATCTTTTTCTTCTTCTTCCTTTTTTTTCTTCCTCTTATTCTTTTTTCTTCTTCTTCTTATTCCTTTTCTTCTTCTGCTTCTTCTTATTCTTGTTCGTATTATTCTTATTTTTTCTCTTATTCGAGTCTTGTTCTTGTTCTTATTCTTCGTCTTATTCTTCTGTTTTTGACAGATAAGGCTTAGTTACACGAAGCCTCAAAAAACTACGGCAACATATTTTATAAAGTCATCACTCGGTATAGACAGAAATGCTCAAAGGAAAATTTCGTATCTTCTCTAAAAATTTCATTTTTGAGATGGCACAGCGCAAAAAAATCCAAACATCCTTCTTCTGAAGTGTCTTGAATATACTTATTTTTCAATGATTCCTTGTTTGTAATGACAATTTTTTGGTTTTCTTTTTGTTGCAGGATTTCTAAAACTTAGCCTGTGTGGACTGATCTTAATAGCTTTATCCTATGCCATTTATATTATCAATCCTGTAGATGTAATTAAAGCTCAGGTCAGTACACTTCTATTCTTAATTCAATGAACCCCCTAAATAATTTAAATGTTTATGTTTTATTTATCCTTATCATATGACAGTTTACCGTAGAAGCAGCTCCTTGCGGTGATTCCACCGTCAGAAAATGGCTAGCGAGTTAGTGGCGGGGGTAAAACGATAGGGACATTTTAAAAGCTGCATTCGAAACGCAGAAGTTTAAAAGTGGGTCCATTGGTTTTTTAAAAAAAATTCCTTCAATAGGCACCCCTTAAAATGTATAATGTGACGAAATGATCGAAGGAAATTTGGCAACTCTCGAATGTTCATACGGCGTTCTTCTTTAGCATGGCAGAATGGAGATGTTGCATGTGTGAGGAATTAACGATTTGACTGTTGATTCTTACGTAAAAGTTCGCGAAAAACACGATGGTGCCACTGGTTTTCTCTGAAATCAACTCCCAAGCTCAAACAAAGCTCTCAAGTTGAGGCCAAAATAGAGGGGATATCCCACGCTATCCTGAGAGTCCACATCTACATAAGACAAACTCTCCATGCAAAGATAGAGAACAAATACATTAGCAGGGTTGTCACTTTATCTGGGGTCTCCAAAACTGAAATCACGGCAACCCTGCTAATGTATTTGTTCTCTATCTTTGCATGGAGAGTTTGTCTTGATGTAGAGGTGGACTCTCAGGACAGCGTGGGATATCCCCTCTATTTTGGCCTCAACTTGAGAGCTTTGTTTGAGCTTGGGAGTTGATTTCAGAGAAAACCAGTGGCACCATCGTGTTTTTCGCGAACTTTTACGTAAGAATCAACAGTCAAATCGCACATTTTTCACACATGCAACATCATCATTGGAAGTATATCGTGCTTATCCGCATCTATTTTCCCGCTCTGAGGCGGTTTTAATAAAAGCAGCATGTTAGTACTCACTACTCAGTCCATTAACAGCGCGTTGTTAGATTCGCCTCTTTTCCATTTTTGGAGAACAGGTATTATCGATCATTCGGACGAAAAGTTGATTTCTAGGTGGTGCGTATAATCTCAGCTCAAATCAGCAGATTTATATGCATTTATACCCAACAACTCACTTTCCACCGTGAAAATTAAACTAATCATGCCTGGTTAGTGCATGGATTCCTTTCCGGCAGGCATCATGTTTCCGGGGATCAAAGCCACCCCTGGATGAATACACAAGTTCGGGAAAATACTTGGGCCACTATATATCTCCTTGTTTTACTGCGAGAGCTCTGCATTCAATTTGAATAAATCACCGTATAATTGATGAGTTGGGAGGAGCCAATTGGGTTTTATGACCAACAGAAGACAATACAAGATATACGAGTGGATTCGTTGAACTTTTTATTATACGTTTGTTGATGATTAACCTGACGGAATGAAGCAAAAAGATCTATCTGCAAGCGTTGTTTTCGTAATAAACGCATCCTGTCTCATACTTATGTGCTTTTTCGAAATTCTGAATGCGGATGGATCTCCTCGCTAAATGACGTCTAATGGACCGTTCTGCCGTACCGGAAAAACGCCATATGAACATTCGAGAGTTGCCAAATTTCCTTTGATAAAATGTTTTTATATGAGGAAAGTTATAAATATTTTTCCTTGACATTTTTAGGAAATTTAGATCAAAATACAAAGAATATTCCCTGAAAAATTGGAAGAAAAATATTCATAAGTTTACCAGGAAATTCGTATTTTATCGAAGAAAATTTAGCAACACCTGATGGCTTATACGGCATTTTTCCTTAGCACGGCAGCCAATTGATGCGGCTCTTTAAATGGAGGGAATCAGCGTATCGAAATGACGGGGAATGTTTTTGAATCAGTGGTTATAATTAAATTTACAGAACACCTGTCCGTGATTTACGACTAAAAAGATGGTCGGAAATTTAGTTTCAGTCGCACAACACTTTTATAAAGTTCTTAGAAGCTTGAAAGCGTCATGGGTTTCCCAAGACTTTGCCATTCCCTCTGACACGTCTGCTAGTCATGGCATGTGAGATAATGAAGGGAATTGTATGACTGCTTCATTCCTTAAATTGCTAATTTCCGAAATAGTCTATCTCTGATTAACAGATCGAAAATTTGCTATCATTTCGGGAACAAAAATCGAGTGCAGACTTAAGAAAATTCAAGTTAAGGATTACCAAGAATGTTGGTTGTCGTTATATGTCAGGTTAACTTCTTTTAGTTTGACTTACTTACTTTCTTTTTCGCCCGATGAATTTTTAGTTTCTTTTATGCGTGCGTAAAAATAGTCTTAATAACATGAATCTGTACAGAAAACATGACCGGCCACTTACAGTAATAACAATAAGTAAGTTCAGGATCAAAAGCACAATGTTTTCATATTTTATCTTTGTTAAGTTTCTGTAGAGCGGTTCACGCATCAGGAATTTTGGAAATCAACTCCTTAGCAAAATATCAACATGTCCATTAACCGTCAAATGAATCAAAACTCATACAAATAATCGTTATTCAAAACCAATGTTAGTTATAAGGGCATGTAACTTTTGTAAAAGTTGAGATTCGTGCTTCCTTTAGTGTCAGACAGTTTTTGCTCATTTGTAAACTTCTAAAGAGAGAGCATGCAGCGAAATGTCTTTAATCTTATCGGTAATCCAGGATTGCGCGAAAGGTCTAAGAAAATATATGAGGATTGCGCGAAAAAGGCACAAGGATTTCGCGAATAAAAACCTTAACACCAGCTACAGGAATGCGCAAATTTAAAATGAAGTAAATTTAAGGCAGAAGTTTGGCAAAGCAGGAAACACTTGGAAAATAAACGCATATTTATGTTGACGCTAGTTTAGGTAAGTTTGTTGACAAATCATCGATGATGAATGATGATACCTTCTGATGATAAATGAAGTGAAAAGATTGAATAATGCAGTCGTGGGTGTAAAGAACTTTCCTAACTTTTCTCAGAAAAATATTTAATCGTGAGAAATGGGGTAACGTTGGATTGCTCATACGACATCCAAACACAACATAGGCCTCTATTATTCGATGCCGCGATTATTCTAATGCGAGTGCGAATAATCGCGCCAAACACAGCGCGGCCGGCGTTAAACGTATTTGAGCGCCTGCAAGACATTAGGAATACTGCACGCATTGCACCAAACAGTGCGATCGGCGTGAAGCCCCGATTAGCGCCTACACGACGACGGCATGAATACTTCTCGCATTGCGCCAAACGCAGTGCCGTCGGTCAGTTTGCGTGAAACGCATATTAGCGTCCACAAGACTGTATGTCGGAATGCTGTACGACTGCGTGCCATCATTATTGACTTTCTGCTCCAGTTTTTACCATAATTAAAGGGAAAATATGTGTATTCACATTGTGACGATTCAGAAACTCGGATAATATTTTTTTTATTTTTTTTAGTGACATTAAAAGGAAAAAGAGTGAACTTCATCGGTAGAAATTGTTCACACTTTTATTTGAGATCATTTAGGTAAATTCAAGGAAACTTTTCAGAAAAACTCTGTTTAGCTGTTTGAAAACATGTATTAAAAATAAAACATGAAAAAGGTGCATGACGTTGCAATCAGAGATAAATACACCCTTTCTTTCGGGGGCTTCCGTCGGGGTCCGAATCCATTCATTTCTTAAAAAACATGAACACGGTTGTTCTACGATGTAGTTTTTTCCAATAATTGGCGGCCCTTAGTTCACTTTTTAAATATCTTTGAAAGCTCTCTGGGTCATTCGTGCTGCGGGGGCTATCCATCGAGAAGAGACATGTCCGTAAATGAGGAGAGAATGAAATCTTCCACGATGTAGTTATCTACCACATACTACCAAGGTTGCCAGACTAACGTTTCCTCATTGAATATTGAATATTCGCGCAAACATGTGAGTTTTCAGTATCAGAATAATTCGCGCAAACATGTGAGTTTTCAGTATCAGAATAATTCGCGCAAACATGTGAGTTTTCAGTATCAGAATAATTCGCGCAATCGTTTGCATCTCCAAAAAGGTAAAAAAGGGGGCATTCGCGCAATCCTATCTCAGGCAATCTTACCTTGTATAGTGCCCTATTCTGCCGTGCTAAGGAAGAGCGCCGTATGAACAATCGAGAGTTGCCAAATTTCCCCGGATAAAACATGCATTTTTGACGAAATTAATGCATATTTTCCCTTAAAATTTTCAGATATTTTAGAATAAATTGTGAACAAAATAGTCTGAAAAATTGGAAGAAAAATATTTAAAATTTCCCCAAGAAATTCGTATCTTATCAGAGGAAATTTGGCAACGCCTGAGGGTTCGTATGACGTTCTTCCTTAGCACGGCAGTATTGTCATTGATTGTGAGGGGAATAAAGTGTATCCTACTGTTATCTCTGTATTTGAAAAAAGTTTTTAATTTTTATTTCCTTGTTTGATCTGTTGCAGAGACTGAGATTTTTCGAGGGTTCCTTTGCATACGGTCTGTGGAAAAAACCACCCGTAAAAGTGTACATAAATGTATATATTTTTAACGTAACAAATTCCGAAGAATTCAAGCGAGGAGATGCGCAGGAGCTAGAGATCAAGGAAATCGGCCCCTACGTATACTGGTAAGTCTTTCTTAAGTGCTTTTATCAAATTAAAATCACAGTATCTGTGATAAAGAGAAGTAAATAATGAGATATTCATATTAAAAGGGACTGTGCGGCACAAATGAGTGTAATTCAGTTTCGGTTAGAAATTTCTTGCAACTTTGTTGATAATAGTCAGATCTACTCATTCACGTTCCTGAAACGGGCAGTCACCATGCTTGATGCATGCTGAGTATCGTGTTTCCGACTCCCTGAGCACAACTTTCGGATTCAACTCGAAGCTTCTATTGACCCCTACAAAAACTTTAACAGAAATAGATAGAGAAGTAAAATTACATCTTGCAACAACCCAATTTGTTTCTGTTTTGCAGATGTTTCACCCCGTCGGCGGAATTGCCCGCAGCCTAATTTTTTTTCTCTCCTTTTTTGCGATTCCACACAAAGTTGGTTTCGTTAACCACGGAGAAAAATGTATGGCTTTATGAACCGATTAGTGGTTTATATGGAACACCACTAGTAGTTGTAAATGAACTAATAAATTAACATCGGTCTGTGAACCATACTGAGGTAGCTCGTACCATACTATGGTGCATATATCATAACTAAGGTTTATGTGCTATTATTATACAATGTTGCCTTTACTACAATTAGGGGTATTCCATATGGACCGCTACTTGGTTTATAAGCCATAGCTTTTTCTCAGTGAATAAAATGAATTCTATAAACTTTAAATTAGAATACTAAGGCAAAAATAGTTCCATTTGCAATTTGTATGAAGTTTGCTCCAAGGCTAGTTTTTTTAAGTGGCCTGAAGCTAATTTCTTGCCCCTTCCTCCTCCAAAAAATGTCAAAGACAAAAACAGAGGGGCCATTATTGATCTATATTAAATCTATGGCCTATGTGAGAAGTGAAGTTTGCATTGATGACCAATCAATTTAATTTTTTTTTTTTTTGGTCGTGTTACAACGGAACATACACTTTTTCATAAGTTAGCAGCCCTACACTATTGCTCGTGATTCCAAAACTCCCGAACTAAATACGACTGGTTTGCTAACGCAATCCACACATCAACTAGATTGCATTTTACAAAAAGGAACTGCACTAGCATTGCAATGTTGCTAAGATTGTGCAACTTCTTTCGTCTTGGAGGAAAAACCCGATTATCCATGAACAGTTTCTATTTTACTCGCTAAAAACTGTAAATTTAAGACAAAATTACCATCTAAATATCATAGTTTTTCACGATTTCCGCAATTTTATTGCAAAAGATGAAGTTGCACGATCTTAGCATCATTGCAATGCTAGTGGTTCCTTTTTGCAAAATGCAATCCAACTATTTGGTGCGCCGGATATTCTCAAATCGTGCGTCCAACATGGGCATAATTCCATTCGTCAGAAATCAATATTCAGCATTTAAAAGCTCCTGATCCGCTCTATCATAATTTGCTCGTCTGTTTCATGAACACAGGGAGGAACTAGAGAATCAAAATGTGACATTTCACGAGAACAAGACGTTATCCTACACACCGATGAGGCTCATCCACTACGATGCAGAGCTGTCCGTTGGAGACCCTGATCTTGACTACATTGTTGTCCCGAACATTCCTCTTTTGGTAAGTCCCTCACTGCCATTTCCTGATACCCAATCACTTGGAAAAAGCCTAATTAATATTAAGCGCTCATATTGGTGCTTCGTCACGCAGATGTTCGGATTTCGTGGTTTTAGCTGACGCCGACGCACAATGGATCGGGTCGTTCAGAGAGGTCGGATGTGAAATTTTTGACTAAAACTGCATTTTTCATATTTATTTCGATACATTTTAAATTTCAAGGGGTGGCTCAAGGAGAAACGTTCTCGAGGAAATCACTGGAACCACTTTCAAAAGCTCAAAGTTTTGTATAAACGGAGTTATAAGCTTTCAAAGTTTCTAAATTATGTTCGATCTCTCCTATTGACTCGATCCGCTGTGCGATGGTTCGTTTTTGGGTTGTTGGTTCATGTAAATCAGTTTGAGTTACTTCAAAGTCTCTCGTTGATAATCATCGTGTATTCTCATCTCTTAGGGAATTGAAAATTCTCACTATCAATCTTGGTGTGACAGATGATATGTATGGTAATGGAATATCCAAGTTATACAGATCGTTCCGCAAAAAATTTCGCTCTCACTCTTTTGCCAGCAATTAAGATAAATTATCCAATTACACTGTAAATGCCACCAACTTAAGGAGTACAATTCAAACCTTGTTTATTCATTAGAAGTTATAGTGCGGTTCTGGATCTGAAATTTTGTAGGATTTGTGATAAAATCTGAATTACTTTGAGTTGGGGTTTTACCTTTTATTTGCAGGAGATATAAACGGAGAAACGGAGAAAATATAAAAACGGAAATATAAACGGAATTTTTGCGAGACGAGAAGATTGCGAGAACAGAGATTGATCAAAACTAAAAATTTGGTGACTAAGGCAACGACCAAGCGGGACCCTCCGCTTCAGGATCCTCTAATTCTAGATCTATGACATTGCTAAAGGTAAAATTTAGTGATGTGTACAAATTTGTCGGACAGTTTAATCTTAAAAAACTGGGTTATCTCCTAATTTTTAGTAAAAATCTGTTAATTGGTTCAAAATATGTATAGAGACTTTTAATTTGGCTGAAAATGCGAGAAGAAAACACAAAGCGAAAACACGATAACTTTTTTAATAGGCACCAAAATATCAATGTGGTTGTAAAGTTATAACAAGACAATAGCCACAAGGAGAGAATAAATACACAGCAATAGAACACAGATCTTTTTATTGTTTTTTCTCTCTTCTTTTTCTTCTTTCACTTCGGTGGATATTAACACACAAAGAGAATTAACGATTCGCTAAGGCACAAGGCAGGTCGGTTTAAAGGCATATTTTAGTCATTTATTTCCAAAGAATCTCTTTTAAGGTAAGGCTAACAGCATGAAAGGCACCCGGTGTCACTCTTGAGGTATGAAATAATTTCTTTTGGTTTTTTTCGTAACGTTTAAAGGCAAAATCAGAACCTAACAAAACGTGACGTGCGCAATAAGTATTCACGTCCATTTGAGATTCCTTCCATTTTAGAGAATTTCGAGAGTATCGTTTTTAGTTCTCGTATCGGATAGTTTTGGCTTGATATTTGAATTTTTTTTTCTAAAAGAAGAGACATCTGAAGAGGTCAGACGACCAAGAAGACTTGCTATCCATCATCCAAATTTTTGGACAAGCGCAAAGTATTTAGACGAAACCGACGTGATTATTTCGTAAGATGTAACCGAGCTTGTCCTAAACGAAATATATAATATATCGTGATTCAGTGCCGTTTAAAATAGCTAACTGACCGTGAATGACGCAAAGATCATCGGCGAGGTTGCCAGTTCTCAATGTTAAAGCACTTTTGCAGTGATACACGATGAGTCACTCACACAGATAGGTATACAGTAGGTACATATCTAGCCTATTGAAAGTTTCAAACTTTCCGATTATGTTTATTTTTTCAAATTAAAGCTTATATACAATATCCTCGAGATTCTGTGAATATTTTTGAATGAGTGATGAATTCACAGAGCTTCAAATGAAAACCCCTTTTTTCTTTTTTTTTTTCTTTTTTTTCCTTTCCTTCAAAAGTGAGACCTGAGCGGAAATACAAAGATGAAATCAAAGATTCCAATTTTACACATACATATTTAGTAATTTTACTTCATTTGTGCCTTCTTCAGAAAATATACATTTGTCCTTTGATGATAGACATTCATTAAAGAATCACTCTGGCAATAAAGTGTGCGCGTAGCAATGATTTGACATCATTAATGATGTGCGTCCTCAAAGAATTGTCAACTAAGGACAATTATTGCGTCTCTTTCACACTTCTAATTTATGTCAATGATTTACGAGACAAATGGCACCATAGCTTAAAAATTTGCTACTTTACAATCAGGGATACGCATATTTGTGCTTCAGTCATCAATAATTAGTTTTTTTTTTTTTTTTTTTTTTTTTTTTTTTTTTCCCACAAAAGGCAGGAATAATTCCCGAAATAGGTGGACATTGCCAGGTCAAAAAAGCTAGACATTTTAAGACCTCTATCGAGAAACTATTCGCAAAACCATATACTTTGCTACAGCTTGTCTATAATCAGTTCAATGGACGTAATTATAAATGTTCGTGTGTAAATGACCATTTGGCGCCCGGGTCAGCAACAACGCCCTCCTATTTCACAACGGAACCCGCTGCACAGATTTGGCCTCAGTTTGGCGAGTCGTTAGCATTTGCGCAAAAAAATGATCTTGATCCCCGACGGGGCAAATAAATTTGCCCGACAAGTGACGCACCGACAACAGAACCACCAATTTTGAGTGCAGAGTGCCCGAGAAACTTCCTCTCGAAATAACGTTGACCAATGTTAAAAAGAAAACAAAAATAGATTTTTGTACAAAATTTCGGCCCAATCCCAAAAAACTCTCTGATTATTTTTTTAAGAACAAATTATACCAAAAACATACGATAGCTCTGCCGTTTGAATTCATCATTTAAAAGTAGGTGATATCAAAACGGCCCAATTTCCCCCTTAATACCTATGCAATATACATCGCAAAGTTTTTTCCTAAAAAAAAATCAAATACTTAAAAGGTATGATGGTCTGAAACACGTTTTGATTCATTGTTTAAAAGGAGTGATTGATATCACTCCTTTTAAAAAAATTTAAGGGAAGTTGGGCCGTTTTGATAAACGGCCCAACTTCCCTTAAATTTGCCCACCTCGGGGCAAAATTATTCGAAACTTTCCAACTCATCACTATAAATCAGTTCAATGGACGTAATTATAAATGTTCGTGTGTAAATGACCATTTGGCGCCCAGGTCAGCAACAACGCCCTCCTATTTCACAACGGAACCCGCTGTACGGATTTGGCCTCAGTTTGGCAAGTCGTTAGCATTTGCGCAAAAAAATGATCTTGATCCCCGACGGAGCAAATAAATTTGCCCAACAAGTGAGGCACCGACAACAGAACCACCAATTTTAAGTGCAGAGTGCCCAAGAAACTTCCTCTCGAAATAGCGTTGACCAATGTTGAAAAGATTTCTGCTCCAACATTGACAGCTGACAGCGGACAGGTGTTCGGAACTTTATTGTCATATATATATTTTAAGATACTTTTATACTTATATTTTTGGTTCCATGGACCCTGAAAAAAAAACCTGCTTCAATCTAATATCGGAATTTATCATTAGCCATTACTGTCGGAATCTTAAGAGGTGCCTTTAACTTGTCGAGAGTTCCACCCGACGCGACATAGGCACGATAAAGCAGCGATAAGACATAGCCGACCAATCACGCTCCGCCTTTTAACCTATGTCACCTATGTCTACCGGATAAACGCAAAATTTCAACAATCAGGCTGCTGATGACCTCTAAAAACGAGTAAAATATTTTGCCTCGGTTTCGATCGAATTCAGTACTAAGTTATATGTTTGGTTTTTTAGTCAATTTTAACTCACTATCTTTTGAGAGTTTGGTTTTGGTCCGTCTCAAGCACAAACTGGAAAACGGAAATTTATAACCGAAAGTAAGTTTTGAAAACAGAAAAGATGCTCCAGTGGTGATTCTTGAAAGTTGGCAACACCAATTAATTGTTCCTCCATTTAATTGTTTGCAAAAAATCGATTCTTGGTGAGGCAGCTTGCCTCGCCTGGTATCGATCTTTTTAATGGGTTTAAATGGAAGCAAAACAGTAACAGTGTTGCAACTTGTAAGAATCGCCACTGCTTTACTCATTGTGACATAGATCTTGGAGACTTTAACGCTCGGGAAAGAAAAAAAGACACCATTATAAACGTTATTTCAGGCGTATGGCTTTTGTATAAGTAGAAAATATTGAAGTAAACAATATTTTCAGGATGTTTCAGATTGATGCTTTCATACAAAAAACTTTTGGAAAGGAAGAAACCGAAAAGAAGGATTAAGCACACCGAGAAAATGTATTATCAGAGAGAACAATGAGATTAGTTTAGTGATCAATTAAAGATAAAAGTATGGACTCTGTTTTTTTACCAAATTGATAATTTAAACGAGCGTACACAGGAAATGATAATTTATCATGGTTGAGCTGATTTTGGCATTTTTTGACGTTTCTTCGTAGCCCACGTAAAAGTATGACAAGGAAACTGGTTTGAGTAGTGTTTAATTGTGTACCCTGCCTTGTGGCCTATTACCTTTTTCCTGATTATGTAGCCTCCAAAACTTTGGTGGCCTTAAGACCTCCTAACACCCCAGTCAATCACAGTGTAGAATGTTCAAACACCCCCTTTTGCTCATTCTTTGAAGAAATAAGCTATTCAAGGACGACACTGATAATTAGGTTCCAAGCAGAAACAATATATTTTACAGACCCCGCATCAGGAATCCAAGCATTTTAATTGGACGAGACAAACGTTAAAGTCAGATTCGAAGCTATTTTTTACCTAATGATGATGGATGAGCATCTTGCTGAGCATAAAATTCGCCAATGATAACTGATGGATACTGATTACTTTGACCAGGAGGTTTTTGAAAATGAGGTTAGGTTTGAAAAAGCAACGGTTCATACCTGCCGTAATTAGTCATT